GGGTCCTGCAGGCCCAGGGAAGCAGAGGGAGATGAGGGTGGTGTTTGTTTGTTATATATAGGAAAACTGGTTTTTGTGTGTTAATTTTGTATCCTGCTACTTTGCTGAATGGGTTTATCAGTTCTAGGAGTTTTCTGATCTTTTATGCATAGAATCATATCTGCAAATAATGACACTTTGACATTTGTCTTTCCAGTATATATCCACTTTAACTCCTTTACTCATCTTACCGCTCTAGCTAAAACTTCAAGCACTATATTGAACAGGAATGGGAAGAATTGACATTCTTGCCTTTTTCCTGATTTTAGAGCAAATGATTTGAGTTTTTCTCTTTTTAGCATGATGTTAACTATGGGCTTGATGTATATTGCTTTTATTATATTGAGATTTTCCCCTTCTATCCATAGATTCTCCATGACTTTTATCATGAAGGGATGTTGGATTTTGTCAAAGGCCTTTGTGTCATGTAATAAGAAAATCACAGTTTCTGTCCTAGGCTATTTAAGTGGTGGATTACATTTATGGATTTGTGTATGTTAAACTCCTTGCATGTCTGGGATGAGGCCAACTTGATCATGGTGGATGATCTATTTCATATGTGCTTGAATTCGGTTAGCAAGTATTTTTGTGCTTATGTTCATCAAGTAGATTGGCCTATAATATTCTTATTGTTAGGTCTTTGTCTGGTTGTGGTATCAAAGGAATGTTGGCTTTGCAGAAAGAATTTGGAAGTGTTCCTTCCTTTTCGAGTCTACCAAATAAATGAAAAAGTATTAGTGTTAGTTCTTCACTGAAGGTCTAGTAGAATTCTGCACTGACTCCATCTAGTCCTAGGCTCGTTTTAGTTGGGAGATTTTAAGTTACTACCTATATATCAGTTGTTACGGGTATGTTGAAATTGTTTATTTTATCTATATTTAACTTTGTATGTACCTAGAAATTCATCTATTTCTTTTCAGTTTTCTAGTTTAGGGCAATATAGTTTTTTTAAGTATGTTCTTATGATTTTCTGAATTTCCTCAGGGTCTGTTGCAATATTTCCCTTTTATCTCTGAGACTATTGGATCCTCTCTTTCTTTTGGTTAAATTAACTAAAGATCTGTCAACCTTTTTAATCTTTTCAAAGAACGAATCATTTCATTGATTCTTGTATTGTTTTCTTATTGTAGTTGTTGTTTCTATTTCATTAATTTCAGCTCTGATTTTGATTATCTTTTCCTTTCTACTCTTTTTAGGTATTGTTTGTCCTTGGTTTTCCAAGACCTTCAGGTATATCGTTAGGATATTGATACAAGATCTCTCCAGTTTGTGTAGTGTAGATACTTAGTACTAAAAACTTTCTTCTTAGGACTGCCTTCAATGTGTCTCATAGATTTTGGCATGTTGAGTTCTCATTTTCATTCAATTCTAGGAATTTTTCGATTTCTTTCTTGATTTCTCCCTGGACCCAATTTTCATTTAGTAGTATGTTGCTTAGTTTCCATGAGTTTGCATACTTTCAGTAGTTTCTATTGTTGTTGATATCCAGCTTTATTCCCTTGTGGTCAGATAGAATGCAGAATGCTATTTCAATTTTCCTGTATTTGTAGTGACTTGCTTTGGGTCATAATATGTGGTCAATTTTGGGAAAAGGTCCATAGGCTTCTGAGAAGAGTATGTGTTCTTTAGTTTCGAGGCAGAATTTTCTGTAGAAATCTGTTAGGTCTATTTGATTTATGATGTCATTTAACTCCTAAGTTTCTTCGTTTGTTTAATTTTTTCTGATGATCTGTCTATTAGTGAGAGTAGACTATTGAAGTCACCCATTGTCACTGTGTTGTGATTAGCCTGTTCTTTTATATCTAAAAGTTCTTTAAGTAAAATTGGGTACCACTATGCTTAATGTGCGTATGTTTAGAATTGTAATATCCTCTTGCTGGACTTTTCCTTTAATGTGTATGAAGTGTCCCTCTTTATATCTCTTTGGACTAATTTTAGTTTGAACTCTATTTTGTCAGATATTAGAATGGATACACTTGCTTGTTTGGTTGGGTATAATAGTCTGGGCTGGCAGTTGTGGTCTTTCAGGACTTGGAATATATCTTTCCAGGCCTTCTGACTTAAAAGTTTTCTATCAAATACTCAGGTGTTATTCTAGTGGGTCTGCCTTTATAAGTGGCTTCACCTTTCTCTTCTGCATCTTTCAATAACATTTCTTTATGTTGTGTTTTTAATATTTTAACTGTAATATGTCATAGTTTTTTTTTTCTTTCTGGTCTTGTCTATTTGGTGTTCTGCAGGCTTCTTCCATCTGGATGGGACTTCTCTTTCCCTAGGTTTGGGAAATTCTCTTCTATGATTTTACTGAAGATATATTCTATGCCTTTGTTATGATATTCTTCTCCTTCTTATATGCCCATTATTCAAAGGTTGGGTCTTTCCATGTTCCTTTTATATATTTGTTTAAATTTTTCATTGATGTTAAGCCAGGTGTGGTGGCACACACCTTTGGTCCCAGCACTCAGGAGGCAGAGGCAGGTGGATCTCTGAGTTCAAGGCCAGCCCTGGGACTACAGGGAGACCTTGTCTCATAAAGATCAAAAAAAATCTTTTTACATTGTTCTTTACCAAGTGATCTAATTCCTCTTCATCTTCCATCTCTGATTCTGTCTTCAACATGATCTTTTCTGTTAGTGAGGCTTTCCACTGAGGTTTTTATTTGAGTTTTTCATTTCCAGTATCATTTCAGTTTCATTTTTTTTCAGAATCTCTAACTTCATTTTTTATTATTTGTACTGACTTCCTTGTTTAATTCACCTCTTTGTCTTTGCTGTCTCTGAGTTATTTGACCATAGCTATAATCAGTCTTTTGAATTCTTTGTCTGGAAGTTCCTGCAGGTCATTTTCATTCAGGGCTATTATGGTTTTTGTTTTGTTTGGAAGTTTTGTTATTTTGTTTTGGGGGTTGTTTTGTTTTGTTTTGGAGGGAGGGAGTGTTGAGGAGACGTTGTTTTGGTTTATGATGTTTTTATTTCTGTGTTGGGATTTGCATATCTGGAGTTAGTAAGTTGTTTGAGTTTTTCTTTCTTTTTTGTTCAAGTAATCTTCATTTAGCAGAGGTGTTTATAATGTTCAGGAAGGGGCTAGTTCATAGCAGGGTTACGATGTTGACTTCTTCTGTTTGGCACTTAGGGTTATAGCCTCTACCCTAGGTTTTCTGCTTGATAGCAAAGGTCAGGTTCATGAAGTGTCTTGCTTTGAGGAACTTGGAGCAGGTTTCCCCTAGCAGTGTGGACTGATCTCAAGGCTAGATGGAACTACTGGAGAGTCCCAATCAGGTAGCTGGCAGGACTCTGATGAGTCTTGAATGGAGTGAGGGACCAGGGCCCCTCATCAGTTGGAAGAGTCTCTAGAGAGGTTTGGACTAGGATCTGACAGATTCCAAAGGGAAGGAGAGGGACCAAAAGCAGGTGGCGATCCCTGGAAAGCAGTGATAGGACTTTGGGGTGATGGCAGGGTGGACAGAGGGAGCTTACCTGGGTCTCCAGGCTATGTGATATGATGAGAGAATCTGATGAGGAGCATGCCAGGGTCTGGTGAATCCCAAAGAGAGGTAGAAGTGCCAAGACGGGGTGTCAGTAGTTCCTGGTATGTTGCAGTGGGGCTTTGGAGTGATGATAGGGGAGAAGAGGAAGCTTACCTGGGCCTCTGGGACATGTGGGGAGACTGGAGAGTCCCTGGTGCACAGCCAGTTGGGGACAGGAAGAGGTGGCAGGCCCTGGCAAGTGGTGGGGCTTTTTTCAAGTTCTTTCTTTTCTTTCTTTTTGTTTTTTTGTTTTTTTGTTTTTTTGCTTTTAAGTTTAAGAGAAATTTTGTTATTTTAAGAATTTCATATAATGTATTTTTATTGTATTCAGACCTCTTCCCCCATCTCCACCCTCACCCTACCACTGCCCACCCCTTACACCCCTATTTCATGCCTTCTATTAGCAAATGAAAAACCCTGTCCATTTTACATATTCCTCTGAGGTGGGTACCAGAGAAATCATATCTCATTAGAGGGTCAGTGATCTATAATTCTTTCACAGGGGTGTGCAAATCACAGTCCTTGCATGCAGGTTACACTTCTAGACCTCACTCAGCACAGTGACCCCATTGTGGACCAAGGCATTCTCCAACAGGTTGATTCCCCACAGAGTTTTACTGTGGGTAAAAGGAGAAGCTATGTCCTCATAGCAGGCAGCAACTAGCTCACAGGTCTTCAATCCAAGATTCTCTGAGTGGAAGCTGGGAAGTTTCACAGCTTCACATGGCATCTTTATACCAGTGTCCTCTAGTTTATTTTCTGAAATCTGTAGACTTCTCAGATTCCTAATGTTGTTGAGGACTGCAGCCAGGTTTTGACAGCCACTGGGTGACCACGATAGTAGGCGGACTATGGGTGCCACCAGGGCGCATTAGTGTGCAGGCCAACTTGGCTCTGCCCTACCAGTGCATGTGAGAGGCCATGCTGGTGAAGCTCCATCCCCATTGATTTGCATGGGCTGGGCTCTGCCATTGCGCATGGGTAGCTATACTGGCATGGCTCCACTGGTGTGCCTGGGTAGCTAGGCCAGTGCAGCTCCACCATCTTGATTTCCCAGTTATTTTTCCTCTTAATTGCTCAGTCATGAGTTCAGAATTTTGAGATCAATATAGAAGCATCAATTATTCTTAATAAATCAAGAGGCACAGAGTCATGTTTTAAGTCCTTGTACTAAAAGCAGCCATTGCTCTGGCTGCACTGCCATCTTGACTCTTGAAGTATTTTCTTTTTTACTTGCCAAGTCCTGAGTTCAGAATTTTGAGACCAATATAGAAGCACCTATGGTCAAGTAAATATTCATATTGTGTTCCACACATAGTCCAACACATGGTCTCTTGGGGGTCAGTGCACCCTGGGCCCTGAGGCCAGCTGCCCCAGGGTAGCCTCATCCCTCTGCCATCTTTTCTCTCATCACCATCACTTTGAGCTGTCTTGTCATATTCCTTCTTGTATGTGTCAACACTCATACTGAACAATGAGTTCTGGGTTGCAAAAGAGAATTTATTTTTGTGCTTGTCATTCATGCCTTTGTTCACCAACTTTACAAACACACACACACACACACACACACACACACAAAGTGCTTTCACATTCTTTATTTCAGTTAATTCATCATTGTATTCAACTTTGGTTCAACCAGGCATAATTTACATTGTTTTACATGTATATCATGTAACATTGAACTTCTGGGTTATAAGTCTCCAGTCAACCTTCCCCAGGTTTACATTTTGTTCTCAGTCAAAACTGACTCCCTCACATGTTTACCATGTAAACAATGTAAACTTAGTAGTTGGGTACTTTGGTAGATTTACTTTTTCTTTCAACATGTGTGCTAATGTGGTAATTCAATCTTCCTGAATCTGTCTTGCTTATACTTTGCAGCTAAAGTTTCCTTTTCTTTTCTAAATGCCTTTGCCTCTAAGCCTTCCTTCAGCAGCACCTGTCAAGGGCTGGAGTTGTGGCCCTTTAGGTAGAGTGCTTGTGTAGCATCCATAAAGCTCTAGACTTGATTCCAGGCTCATAAACCAGGCACCACCAGGCATGTTAGTGCACAGTTCTAATCCCAGCATTTGAGAAGTGGAGATAAAAGGATCTAGAGTTCAAGGTTATCTTTAGCTGGTAACTTATTTTGGAAGTAAATGTCAGAAAATCTCTAATTTCTATTAGCTATTTTGGAAAGTGTTATGGAATATTGAAATGATGGTTTTTTGTTTTTTGTTTTTTGTTTTTGTCTTTTTGAGATAGGGTCTTCCTGTAGTCCCAGCTGACCTGAACTCACTATGTAAACCAGGCTGGCCTTGAACTCACAGTGATCCGCCTGCCTCTGTCTCCCAAGTGCTGGGACTAAAGGCATGCGCCACCATGCCCAGCTTGAAATGATGTTTTTACCTTACAAAAAAATAAGATTAAGAGCTGGGCATGGTGGCATACACTTGCAATCCCAGCGCATGGGAGACAGATACAATAAAACTGCAAGTTTGAGACAAGCATGGGAGGGCTAATAGTGAGTTCAGGGCCATCCTGAGCTACTAGTAAGACCCTGTCTCAAAATATTAAAGGATATGTTAAGGATATGGATATGTAGTTCAGTGGTAGAACATTTGCCTAGCATGTGTAGGGTCCTGCATTTAAGCTCCAACGAGAGAGAAAGAGGGAGGGAGGGAGAGAGGGAGGGAGAGAGAGAGAGAGAGAAATTAGGAGCTGAGAAAATGACTACAGTAATAGTACTGCACTCTTTAAATGATGTATATATTGTTTACTTTTTTAAAAATGAAAGTTCGGTTTTACACAAAAATGGGTCCTAAATCTCCTTTGCCCAAAAAAAAAGCATATCGATACTGAATTGCCCTTTTTTGCTCAATAGAAGAGGGAAAATATCTTGCTGTACTCTAGATTCTGGAGTCCAGAGCCTGTTGAGACTTAGAAATGGGTCTCCCTGTCAGGGTTCCATTCCAGGATCACTGCCTGAAGGTGTCAATTGTGCTCAGCTAGCTGAATGCTTTAACTCAGCATGGAATTCCATTTGGCTCCAAATATGTGTCCTTCTTTGAGAGACGCTGGTATATATGAAACAAAAATCCACAAGGCAATCTTTTTCTTCAAACATTAGTACTTTGTTAAAAGAATGTATTAAATTACCACATTTGAACTTAATTTAGGGCAATCATCCAAACATTTTGAGAAAAGTAAGCATCAATTTAACTTGATCTCTGAAACTATTAAAGAAAAAACCCACAAACAGAAAGCCACAGTTAGTTTGTTAAAGGCAGTGTGGCAGCATAGATGTTCTCTGGATAGCCAGTCAAAAATTCAAATGAAAAGTATAGTCTTATCTTACCTTCAGCTTAGAATCAAATGGTAGAGCATACACAGGACAGCATGTAACAAAGTTCACCTTGCTGATCTCAGGAAGACCTCATACTGGAGACCATAATTTGCTGTCCATGAATTCTACAGAGAGTTTTGCCACATTGTTGAAACACATGATTTTCTCTTGAGTCAAGAACTAAATGAAATAGCTTGCATGCATTTAGGGGGATATAAACTAACCGCTTTCATGACATGAAACAAAAAACAAAGGCATTATCAGGGTAGAGGAATGTAACAGGAGAGGGGGAGTAACAGAAATCAATGTAGGGGAGGGGGTAATTATGAGCAAAGTACATTTTATCCATGTATGAAAACATCACAATGAAACCCATTATTGTACAATTAATATATGCTAATAGCATGGGAAAATGTCTTCAGCAACAGAAGAAAGCTCAGTTTGGTGGACACTTGCTCTGTAGGAAACCCTTGGGTACTAAGCAAAGCTAGGAAGTGGCTTGGTCACATCTCAGATCACCTTGCTCAAGAACACCATGCTTATTGAACAGAGTCGGTGGACCCTCCCAAACTGCTCAAAGAATATTTTTCTCTTTTTTTTCAGAATAATTCACCCAGTTACATGCATATATGATGCATAATAAATGTAATTTTGAATTAAAGGAGTAATAATCTAAATAGCTATGTTGGGAATACATTTTCACAGTGCAATAGTGAAGATGTGCAAAGATATAATTTTCTCTGTAAATAAAATTAAATTACGTTCTCAAGATCTTATTTTCTCTGATAGAAATTTTGTTGTGACAATTTCATCTTAAACATGAACTTTCATAAGGTAGTTTTCCTTTTTATGCTGCTCTCTCTTCCCAGAATAATCTAAATTCCAAGGGGATTATGTACCATCCTGACACCAGGGGATTGACATTGGTCCATATGTCATCTCTGTCTCCACTGGTCTTCCCCAGCTGTCCCCATGATGATGGCAGCCAAGGACAGGCTGAAGGCATGCATCCCCTTTGCCACCTTGGTGCTCCAGCACTTCCTGGTGTGGCAGTCTTGCCTTCATTCTGTCAGCTGCTCTGCAGATCATCCCTTGTCCTCTCAGACCCTCAGCACTCTTATTCCATCCTTTGCTCAACTGTCCTCCATAAACTTCCACTGTGGGATAATACCTTTGTCTCAAAGCATAGTGAACCTCTGAAATACCTTTTCTCTAGTTAGAAACTTCATTCTGGATCCCACCAATTCTATTGAAGATATTAGGACTACCAGAAGTTAGGCCCCAACAGCCCTAATAAGCCAGGTTCAGCCACCTGTCCTCAATAAGCCAAGTAAACAAGTGATAGTGAAAAGCAGACACAAGACATTTATTTAATGTGACCACATGGGGGAAGAGGGACATGGAGGTGCAGTGACCCAGCCCCCAAGTCTATCTCTCCGATCCTGATGGAGGTTTAGGGTTAGATAAAGAGCCACAGGCATAACTAAGCAGTCTTGGTGTAGGTGGCACCAGGCTTCAGTCTTTTTCTTCTCTGAGCATGAGATCCTCAGAGAAATTCCAATTTCTTTTTGTAAATATTTTATTATTTTTATTTTATGTGTACAAGTGGTTGCCTATGTGTGTAAGTGTACCACATGCGTGCACTGCTCACAGAAACTAGAAGAGGATGTCAGATCCCCTGGAACTGGAATTATGGATAGTTATTAGCCACCGTGTAGGTGCTGGAAATCAAACTCAGGTCCTCTGCAAGAGCAGCCAGTGCTCTTAACCACTGAGCTATCTTTCCAACCCTGGAAATTCCAATTTCTTGGAGGCCACTGTCTTGATAGCCTGATAGCCAAAGGGAGGGGCACAGAGTGTCTTTACATCTTCATTCCTACCTGGATATTCAGCCGTACTGGCCCAGAAACAGGTCTTGTATCTTTTGTCTGGCTAGAAGCACCTGACATCCTCACTCAGGCTCCCTCATATCATGTTTAAATGGTTTGCATTAAATAACAATGGAAAAGATAATTCTTGCAAGCTGGTATCTATTTGGCTCTCAAGCTATTGTATTTGTTACAGAATTTTCATCAAATCTGGGAATTATTAAACATTAACTCATCAAGTATTCTTCCTTCTCATTTCTTTTCCTCTTTTCTTTCTGGAGCTTCTATTGTGATATATTAATATGCTTAAGCCTGTCCCACAGGGCTGCAAAGCTCCATTCATTTTTTCTCAATTTTTTTCCATTTTCCACATCAAATAAGAGAAATTAACTTTTCTTCATATTTTCTAATTTTCTACCTTCTCAAGTCTGCTGCTAAACTCCTATGGCAAACTTTTTACTTTAGTTATATTATTTTTATTTAATTGTAGTATTTAGTTATTATTTAGTTAGAGTATTTTTCATATCTAGAACTTATATTGCTTCTTCTTTCTATAACATCTATCGCTTACCATTTCCTACACAGTTCTCCTATTTTCCCTTGGTTCTCTGAGCATATTTAGTTGCTGGAAGACTGTCAGTATTCCTTTTCTGTCTGTATGGGTCATGCATTATTCTTTTCTTGAAAGTCTAGAAAGTTGTTGAAAACAGACAGATAATATACAAATAAGTCAAAGGTAAGTTCATCTACTGAGGTCTAGTCAGCTTATCTAGAGTCTCTTGCTTTAGAAGATCAGCTCTTCCTCGCGCAGCAGTAATCAGTTGCCAGCAATTCTTCAGCTAAGATTGTAATCAGCTGTCCATTTCCCCAGTTCTATGCTGGGTTTTTGTCTATTTGAGTTTGCATGGGTCCTGTGTAGATGAACTTGTACTGAGGGATGTTTGAAGACACTAACTTTACACAATAGGCCTTAAGACAAATGACAGAATGTATGAATTCCAGTGGGAGGGCTATGGGGTAGTGCCAGTGGGGAAGGGGGCATAAAGATGACTAAGACCAATTGAGATGTTCTGCATGAAATATACAGAAATTCGACAAAAATAAATAAATAAAAATAAAACTCAAAGAAAAAATTGTCTCTAGAAATTAAATTCTTCCCATTGCTTGGAGACTTACTATTGCTGTTTGTTGGGTTTTTTTGCTTAATGACTTTTTAAACTTAATTTAGAAAAGCTACATTCTTTTTCATACGCACTGCTGGAAACTCAGTTAGGTTAGTCTATTAACTAGGCAGAGGTTTAGTTAATTTGTGGTGCCAGTAAATTCCCTTGTCTTCACCCAATGTAGAGCTTTATGGTCAGTCAAGGATA